AGAAAAGTCTTAATCTTCTTGTGTCTGAAATCAAACAGTCCTCCCCACTCCCCATGTCTTTTTGATTACAAGAAAAATGTCTCCATTTCGGCAGAAGGCATTCACAGAACCGATTCAGTGCTTCCCGAAAAGGTTTAGTTGCCACCTCGTGGATAAGAAAAGAGCCGCATCCAAAGATAATCTACCATTTTCTGTACAAATGATTTAAAACCTCCAGCATGGTTAACTTTCAAGTTACCAAAAAGATATTTGTAAACCCCGTTAAAAACAAGACAGCAGGCCCCAAATGAGTCGCTTATGCTAAGCCCCACTTCACCACACCGAGACTTAGTTTCAGCTCTCCCCAGACAGAATCTTCAGCCAGTCTGTCGGAACAGCCTAGTTGCCTGCCTGGCCCGCCCCCTGCCATCCTGGCCCCTAAAGGAAGGCGACCTTGACACAACCAATCTGCTTTTTGCTGGTATAACTTTCTTGTCCGGCTCCCTTCTGCCTGTAGTTCCCTTTTATACAGCCCTTCAGAGCTCCTTTCTAGCTGCTGGACTGGATGCTGCTGATCCGTGAATCACAGAATAAAGTCAGTAAGATTGAAATTTACTCAGTGAACTTGCTTTTTTACACCCTAAAATTATTTTTTTAAACTGCCACTATTTGGTAGACTCAAAAGAGGGCGCCTCATTGTCAGAGTGAGTTTAGAAAGAGGGGCAGGAAACCTTTCAGAATGCTTACGCCAGTAGCTGCCCACAACTGCCATCTCCCAACCGGGGGCTTCCTCAAAAAGACACGGGGCTCATTTCTGGATGTGTAAGTTCACGTGCAATAGATTTCCACCACGTTATGTCAATTTTATTGAATTTTCATCTGCTTCCCTAACCACCTTTGGGGGTAATAAAAGGAAGAGGGACCCAAGAAAGGTGCAGCCAGGGATGCTCCTCAGATGCATCTAGTACTGTTGCCATGTATGCTGCTCAGTATTAAGAAAGGAATTGGAACAGAATTTCCCCCTCAAGCAGTTTTTTGAACTAATCAGGGACAGAAATAAGACAAACTCTGAAATAAAACTGCATAAAAGGCAAATGAAAACCATACCAGAAAAATCCAGGCAATATTTTTCTAGTGTTTAATTGATCTCAAGGAAGGAAAAAGTCCAGATTCACAAAAACCTACATGTATTGTTTTATTATATACAAAACCAAGCATACAATAATTACACAGCAAATAACATGTTGAATATTTTCAGGCCATTTTGAATGGTGCTCTGTACATGTACATGAATAAGTAATAAATACTGCTCCTCTATTACCTTGAAATACAGTACCACCAAGAGTTTTATATTTTTATTTTACTACTCACGTAAATGAGCACAAAGGAAAGAGGAAATAGATAATATTTAAACATGGAAGGTAGAAATTCTTCCTTCTGGAAACTAACCAAATAGGCTTAAGAACCACCACTAATCAATGATATCCTCTCCCCCATCTTTTCTGTCATAGCCACCAATCCCACCCTATTCCAGTTAAGTTACAAACCTTCAGCCAGTTTAGTCATTAAAGATTTGAGAAATAGTCTCAACCTAAACAATTGTAGCTAATACTGATATATTTTTGTAATTCATTTTTGTACTTTTTTGACAACTTTTTCCCCCGATCCTAAGCTTGAAGCAGTTCTTCTTACATTCTCTAAACTTTGGGGGGTTTTTTTGCTAACATTTATTTTATTTTATTGGATCATTTTAATTGGTTTAAATGCAACATGTATGTAAACGACTCCACAAAAATGAGAGGCACTTCTTAGAAATACAGTGACTCATGTCACAAGATTCAATGGCTTCGATTTGATGAACTGAATGAGCTCCTGACTCAACTCTCCAATGTTGTCTGCTTGAATGGCAAGATCTTTATCTGCAGCGTTTAGTGCATTAAGATGTGTGCATCAGAAATCATAAAATTGTGCTTATCTTCCATAATGAACCCATATTCATTAGGAGCTCTGATCCAATCACAATAATGTTGATTAAAATAAACTACCAACCCGAGGCAAAAAAGTAAACAAGCCACTTTTTCAGGCTTTTAAAACTGTCTTAACATGTGACATTACAGCTATCCCCCCAAATTAAGCAACCAACTTCAAGTCAAAGAGCTAGGAACAAATGTAACATCCGAGGCGTTACCTCAGCACTTCTTAATCAGCTCAGACATACACGAGGCCGGGAAAGGTAAACTACGTCACCCTCACCCTCCAGATCTCTGAAGGTACCTGCACAGGTGCATTACTGGTAGAGGCAGCAGCTCAGCATAAACCCTGTAGGATTAATATCAGGTGTATATATGTGTATATAGATGTGTGTAAATATATGTAATGTGCTTACAGAGATTTATCGACCCTGAATACTTCATAAAGAGCTGCATAAAAATCTAGCAAAGAGGGCTTCCCTGGTGGCACAGTGGTTGAGAGTCCGCCTGCCAATGCAGGGGACACAGGTTCGTGCCCCGGTCCAGGAAGATTCCACATGCCGCGGAGCGGCTGGGCCCGTGAGCCATGGCCGCTGAGCCTGCGCATCCGGAGCCTGTGCTCCACAACGGGAGAGGCCACAGCAGTGAGAGGCCCGCGTACCGCAAAAAAAAAAAAAAAAAAAAATCTAGCAGAGAAAGACTCATGAATTGGGTCCTATATACACGCCGGCAGTGTATATAGGACTAACCCATCTGTATTCACAGAAGCAGGGCCGTCGAGGGACATGTGGGGTGCCACTCAGGAACCACAGAAAGGAAAACTAAGACTAGCACTATGTTTTCAAAACACTATACTTATACTGAGTACAAAAGTTATAGTATAATTGCGAACCATGGAAGTAATGCCTGCCAGATGTACATCGTTTGTTCATTTATAAAAATGCATAAGATTTTATTGTAAGCAGTGCTTTCTCCAGTAGGGTGGCGTGAGAGAGAATATAAGAGGGACTCTGGGGCTTCCCTGGTGGCGCAGTGGTTGAGAGTCCGCCTGCCGATGCAGGGGACACGGGTTCATGCCCCAGTCCGGGAAGATCCCACGTGCCACGGAGCGGCTGGGCCCGTGAGCCATGGCCGCTGTGCCTGTGCGTCTGGAGCCTGTGCTCCGCAACGGAAGAGGCCACAGCAGTGAGAGGCCCGCGTACCGCAAAAAAAAAAAAAAATTATGGCCTCAAGTTTCAAGTGGATTCTCAGTGTTACCCAGCCATTCTTTACATTTCCCTAGTCATTTGGTCCGGAAAGATCCCACATGCCGTGGAACGGCGGGGCCCATTAGCCATGGCCACTGAGCCTGCACGTCTGGAGCCCGTGCTCCACAACGCGAGAGGCCACAACAGTGAGAGGCCCGCGTACCGCAAAAAAATTTAAAAAAAAAAAAAAAAAAAAAGAGGGACTCTGTAAATAAAGTCTTAGAAGAAAAAAAATTACCGTAAAAATTTTTGTTGTTTAATACGATTAAAATCAGATTTTAAAATGGCATCTTAATATTCAACTTCGGCCTATTATTTTAATTATTTATAAATGTGTCTTGTCTTTATGTTAACTTAAACAGTGCCTTGGGTGACACTGAGTTACTGGGTGAAAAGTCTGTGAGTTAGTAAATATTTTCAGATGAAAAGTGCCGAGTTTTTCATTTGTCCCAAAGGTGAGAAAACAGAAACAAATATATATGTAAAAAAACAAATAGAATAATCGTTTGAAGGGATAAAATCAGCTACAGTCATTAAAACATACTGTATATCAAGAGGTAGTCAAGCAAAGGCTCTACAGACATTCACCATAATATCAGGAGAAATCTCTCAGCACAACCACAGGGAAAAGTAGATGTGACTTAACAGCAGTTAAATAAGAAGCATTTAGGGGAGTCAGGAAGCCGCAGGGCCAGGTGAGGAGGTTAAGACATCCAGTAACTCTATCCATGGTCCACCCTCCCACACCCTGCTCCCAGCAAGATTATAAAGTCCTGCTCTTGCAAATGAAGACAGATCATCATTCTGATGATTTTTCCCATGGCACCTCTTCAGAGAAGCCACACACGCCGGGGATTCTCGTGCCAACTGTTTCATTCTTCCTCCCATCACGTGCTAACAACCGTGCTTAGACCCGCCGACATCCACTGGGACGAAGCCTGTACGCTATTTTAAGTTCAGCTTAGAGAATACAGAAATGGACTTTGCCACCACTTCTAAATTGAAAAGGCTTTTTTTTTTTTTTTTTTTTTTTGCGGTACGCGGGCCTCTCACTGCTGTGGCCTCTCCCGTTGCGGAGCACAGGCTCCGGACACACAGGCTCAGCGGCCATGGCTCACGGGCCCAGCCGCTCCGCGGCACGTGGGATCTTCCCGGACCGGGACACGAACCCACGTCCCCTGCATCGGCAGGCAGACTCTCAACCACTGCGCCACCAGGGAAGCCCGGCCTTGTTTTTTTTTTAAACCCATATCAGGGAAAGTGTTTGAAAGCACTAGATTCCACTGTCTGGAAGGAGCAGGCAGCTTAGTGGTAAATGGCTTTGCTCATAATAGCTGCTCCGTAACTCGAGGAAGCTTCCCCAGGAGTGAGATGCCCGGCCTTCTGCTTGAATAGTTTAGGATGAGGATGCAGAGAGCCCTGTTCCAGACACTGTGTGAGGCAGTACGTGCTAGTTTAGCTACGCTGCATGTGGCCTGGCTGAGGTTTCAGAAGTTTAGGCCACTCTTCCCTTGGAGAGCTGTCGTTTTATTTCTTTATATGGCACAGACCTTGGTTAATGTTTATCTGAAGGACTCTCATTTGCCTACGACTGTCAACGCAGAATATGGTCACTGAAAGACACGCTTCTTTGGAAACGAACCTGCTGTGGCTTTGGGGGGGGGGGGGGCGTGGCATGGACTAAAGAACTGCTCAAGCTCTTCAGTGTCAGTGTCCCAAAGTCTCTTAAGATTCACAGTATTGTAACTTTTGGAAGAGCTCTAATATTGAGGCACCTGCAGGTCCTTGCAATTCATCGTCTCAGTTATGATTTGAATTTGTGTGTGTTTTGTTTTACTCCATTTGTTTTGAGCTTTTTCTCGCTGGATACAGTGGCTCGAGCACAATTATTTGCATTTCCCTTTTGCTTAAGACTTGCATGTGCTGGCGCTCTGGAGGCCTTGAAGGTGTCCGTGGAGTCCCCGATCACCGCTGGCTGCCTGGGAAGGCGAAGGTTCACGCTGCTCTCGATCTTAGGGTTGCCGCTGTCCCCACAGGACAGATCCCAGTGCTGCAGCTTGGAGCTCTTGTTGGATTTCTTTTTCTTCTCCTCTGTCTGCACGTCCAGGGTTTGCTTCTGAGAACACAGTCTGCTGCTACTCAGCATATCGAGGGGTTTGGTGGAAGCCTCACATGTGTAATAGGACGGATGGACTTCTGCGCGGTGCACGTCCTTCTTTCGTGAAGGGCCTGACTTCGGAGGCCCTTCCTG